TATTCTTATGCATTTAAATAACTTGAATAATTTTGTTAAAGAGGAAAAAAAGAGCTCAACGCAAAGAGGAAGAGTCTGACAAATTTAAGCAATTTCATGTAAGTTCGGTTTTATTGAGAATGGGATTTTAGAAGAGCCTTTTTTCCTGCCAAGCTAGTTATAGTATGAAAATGAAACCAAATTATTTTCACATATAAAGAGGTATCAATGAAATTGGCCATGAGAAAGAATTTTGTAATAGCACAGGAAAATAGAATCCGCAAAGCATGCTTCATGTTTTTAGGTCCATTGTCATGTCATGACTCTTGTGATTCATCATCAATATTCAACAAATTGCACCCAGCAAAGCTGCAAAAAAGAAAGGATCAGACTTCCCTCTTGTTTTTGCCTTGCACATGTCGTATCCGTGACGATAATGGTGGTGTTCGAGTCAGTTTGTGTACTTTGATTATTCATTTGCTATATATCCCCTAATAATAATTGTATTAGATAATTCTGTCTATTAATATTTTCAAATAGGTGTTGCGAATAGATGTTGCGAGTATTATGGATAATTTTTATCGTTGGATGAAAGTATAGATTAAAAAGTGTACGAAATCTTTTTCTACTATTTTCGAAGATTAGAAAGTCAACAACAATAATAATAAACCCATTGTAACCCTACGAGTGAGATCTGCGAGGAGTAGTGTGTATACGGACATTACCCTATCTTAAAAAGATAAAAAGTTATTTTCGATAAACCATCTCCTCTTTTGATTTACATAAAAAGTAGTAAAATTTTCCAAGGTTAATCCAAACTAGTGGGACCTCAAGTCGGATATCAAACGCCGAACAGGAACCAAAAAGAATCTATTTTCTAATTATTAAGACAACCAATATTTAAGAATGAAATAAAAAAACAAAATTGTAACTCTCATTTCTCAATGCCCATTCCCTTTTTAAAAATTCATGAATAGTAAAACCTTCTATTTTCTCTTCTGAACTTTTCAACTTCCCCTTTTAGGAATTTTCTACCTTTCTCCTTTCCTTCCCCTTCCACAGGTTCCCCTTGTTCTGCTTATAAATACACATTCACCACTCTGCATTTTCTCAAGCTAAAGCAAAAAAAAGAGAAAACAGTCCTCAATTTCCTCTAAAACTTAATTTCCTCTTTAATTCTCTCTCTCATTCCCCTTTTTAAAACCCCAAAGAGATTTAAAAAACCTCCAAAAAAGAAAAGAAAATGAGAACAGGAAGTGGTTTTTCTACAACTTCATCACCAACGATAAAAGCTACATTTTCACCGCCGGCGATAGTTCAAAGATCGCCATGGCATTCTCCGGTGCCGTATCTCTTCGGCGGATTAGCAGCCATGTTAGGATTAATAGCTTTTGCTCTATTAATATTAGCTTGTTCTTACTGGAAACTCTCTTCCCATTTAAGAGAACATGACGATAATCAGTCACAAGATGATACTGAGGCCGGCGCCGGTGAAAAACCGGCGACCGGAGCTGTGAAGGCGATGCCGGAGTTTGAGGAGAAGATTGTTGTTATAATGGCTGGAGATTTGAACCCAAGTTTTTTGGCTACGCCTATGTTAATGTTAAGTAAAGTTGGTACTGTTTTAGGTGATGGAAGTAATTTGAATAAATGTGAGGAAAATTTGGAAAAGGGAAGTGATGAGAAGGAGAAATTAGAACAAGTGGTGATTGAGATTAGAGAAGAGAGTAATGGAGATTCTCAACATAGCCATGGACAAAACCAGTGAGCTCAAAATATAGTGTGATCTTTTCTTCTGTTTTCTTCTTTTCTTTTTTGGTTTTATCACCCTTTTTTGTTTGAATATCCAGTTTTGAGATCACGGGAATTGTAAATTATTGGTTGAGAATGAGAAAGAGTGTAAATTTATTTTCTACTATTCTATGCTCTGTTCCATTTTATATTTTATTATGTTTTTGGTGTTTCATTCGGTATCTACTCGACTAAATTTAAAGTCGTGTCGGAAAGTCTCGAGGATAAAACATTCCTACATACACAGAACTCAAACATGTTCCATTTTATATTTCATATGACTATATTTAGAAACTCCTTAGATTTAAATATTTTATTATATTGTCGTCGTACAAATTTTATGGGGTGCTTAAGACTAAATAGTGTAAGTTTGTGCCAAAGATTTATCTTTCTTTATAGACTTTGTGTTCGTTTAAATATCACCATATAAAATAAATGAAACGGAGGAAGGATATATATGGATGATTAGATTTCAGCATAAGATTAATGCAATTGAAGTAATGAGTTGTAAGTGAGCTAAAGTTAAATAGTTACTCCAATATATTAGCCTCGTAATGTATTCTTTTAGAAAATGTATTTAGTATTGTATATTATAAATATTTACAATTTAAAAATAGATAACTTAGCTACCATTTTGGAAGAGTTTAAGTTTATGGAGTAATAGAGTTCTATTTTTCTTGTTAACTATGTTTTTCTTTCATTACCTTGCATATATAAAGGTAGTAAGGTGAACGGGTTGTTAGTTATATTCATGAAATGAAAAACCTTTAGTAAAATTGTTAGAAAACTACAATGACATCCTTTATAAGTTGGAAAGGAAATTTTTAATTTTAGAAAAATGACTTTATATGTTTAACGAAAGATATAATCGTGCTACCTCCCATCTAGTTGAAGAATAGTATAGACGGTTCTCTCTAACTTACAAAATTATAGAAACATCTATTCTTGTCCTAAATTCGATGACAACTTGATGTTATTTGAAATTTTTGGTACATTATCCATAGAGTTCAAATTTTATGCGTTGACAATGCGAAATATATTTTTATAATCGAACTTGTTACGAACTTGTTATAATAGGTTAAACTACATTAATAGTGTAAAATACTTAATATTATCAGTTTATATGATTTAAATCTTCGCCCATGTAGCATTTCCCCCATATTTTTGTTGTTAGATATTTGGAGTACATTACTCTTAAGCCTAATGTAAAAGAAAAATTATCTTTAATACCTGAACCACCTTAAAAGACTTGTTAGCTATCTTGTTTCAAATAATTAAACTAATTTAATGATAAAAACAAAAACTCATAAAACTAAATTAAAATCTTCAATTTCCTTACGAAATGAAAATACAAAGATACAAGTGCTTACAATAACAATAACAATATACACTCAATGCAATATCATATAATGGAGTCTAGAGATCATAGTATATACGCAGACTTTACCCTACATTAAAAATATTACAGAGATTGTTATCAATAAACTCTCGGTTCAACGAAAGTATAAGCACAACAATAGCAAAAAAGAAACATGGTAAAAGCCATGCGAAAGAAATAATAACAACAATAAGATAATAAAATGGTCGAAGTAAAAGATAATATATAATAATAAAAATATAAGAATAAGAAAATACAAAAATACATACTAATACTACTAGTATGAAAAAGAATACACTTGATTTTAGACCTCTCCCGCTGCTATCAAGTGTATGTTATATAAATGAAAACATTATTTACACAGAGATTTTTTAGATTGAAAAGAAAGATGTCGGATTTGATCTTATCCAATAGTGCTTATGTAATTAAATAAACTACATAAAGGTACTGCTATTTTGCGTCTGGATACTCCACTAGAAAGGAGAATAAAGTGAAAGAAGAAACAAAGGGAGTATATATTCTTACTGTTGGATTCAAGTGTGTTTGGCAAAACCACTTTTATGGGAAATGATGTTAGCAAATTGGCTCAATTTTTCTTGGTGGGAGTAGTTGAATGATAGGTGAAAGTGAAATAATTGTGGCACTGTTTTCTGCAAAGTCTCGTGTCAAGTGTAGATAAAGCCAATGCTGATATTGAAATTGCGGCAGGAGAGGCGTGAAAGTGGGCGACGCGGCGAAATGTGCCCGTGAAGTCCTTTAATTGCAACTGTTAACTGATTTATTTTTTGACTTGTGACATTAGAGTTAACCGTCGTTTTGGGTAGGAGTCCGACACTAAAAGGATGCAATTTTGGACTCAATACACAAAATTAGGTAAAAAAAAATTATTAATAACTTTTTTATATATAGCACATATTTTTAATGTGTTATATCTTAACTGTCAGTTACCTCGTTAAGGTATAGCGCATGTAATACATGCGCTATGCTTACAATTTGCTGACCAATAATAATTGGTGAGTATAACGCATGTTTTATATGCGGTATATGTACAGAGCATATATCACATGCGCTATACTTACCAACAGGGGCGGATCTAGAGCATTGGCTACGGGTTCCCGGAAACCCAATAACTTTTGCGTAAGCCCTGTATTTATATTAAAAAGTTTATTAAATATTTGTAAATATTTAACTGTGAACCCAAATATTATTACATATTAATTTAAATTTACGGTAGGAACTCATAAGCTTCAAATTCTGAATCCGCCTCTACTTACTAATTGTCATCCCCTCATATTGAATTTTTGCTTACTTAAGGGTGAACATTTGTTGTTCAAAAAATCATTCTGAACAAATTATTCTTCAGCATCCTTTGTATCACTTCATATTCATCAATATTTTTTGAATTTTGCTACAATGTCTGAAGAGCGAAAAATTAGGATTGTATTATATTGGGGTGATGAGGTTGTGGTGAAGAATAACTCGGTACACTATAGTTGTTATCCACAGAAAATTGTTAAGTTGTCACTCACATTTGAGTACGACAGATTGATATCTTTGATTTGTAAAAGAATGAGTGTGAATAAATATTCGGTTAATATTAAAGTAACTAAAAGATAGCGTTATTCGCTTAGTTCGCAAGGGGTTGCTTGTTATCACTACTACAAAAGAGACTTTTAGTGGTAATTAATTAGCGGCAATAAATGAATCGCCACTAAATAATTTTGTAAACGAAAAATATTAGAGGCAAATAAGCATCCGTCGCTATTACACACCTTTTTAGTGGCAATAAAAATAAATAACCACAATTAAAAGCAACTTTTATTATTTTTATCTTCCCCTCCAAAATTTTAGAGCTAAAATAACCTATTCCCTCCAATTCCTTCCGTCTAAGTTGTGAGAACTTCAAAAAATACTTCAGAAATATAAAATCTCTCATCCCCTGTAATGTTTTTCTCCCTATGGTCGATCCTCTATCTCACCATAACGCCACCAACCCCAGGTAATATTTTTCAGAAAATAGTTTTTTTATCACTGCTCTATCTCTTCTCTGTCTCTTCTTTGCTCCAAATAATTATCCTTGTAGAGTTTGGATGGGAAAAACGTACCAATCTGATATGTTTTGGTTTTGGTTAGAAATTGCTATGTTATGGTTGTTTATATACCATGTGAATTGAAGTTTTGTCGTCAATTTTAGTATTGGTTTGCTTTGCTTCAATCTTCATTGCCGTAGTGTCAAGTGTGGCTTTTGTCGGCATTAACCCCCTTGTGAAAATGGCTTCTTTTTACAAATAAATATTGTTTCACTTTTTTCTAAATTAAGTGCTTTGTGATTTTCCTTTCCCATGACACTCTCTACCTCTTTCTTGAAGGGACATAATTGTGATCAGAAATTTCTATATTTGGTTGAGGTGTAAAATTTTCTTCATTGTGTCAAAAATAGGTTGACGAGTTAATCGATTAAAAACAGAACTTCAAGAAAAGATTCCGAGTTGAAAATTTTGTAAGTGATAATCAGATTGGTAGTTACTCTGTGGACCAAAATTGTCTTATACTTTACATTATATGGTTCCAGAATATGATTTTGTTTTTGAATATTATTATGATGGCTATCTATTATCTTCTAATAGCCTTTCACTTGTAACCTTCACTGCAATCTAATTTTTTGTTTGTTACCTGCAAACGCAATGCATCACATTTTGTATCACTTGTACATTATGTATGTGTATGTGTATGTGCCCTTTGGTGGTTACGACGTAATCTCTTGATTTCAGCAATACGTTCTCCGTTTATGTAACTCACCTATATCAATTTACTTATCAAATAAAGTAATATATACAAATATTTAGAAATAGATAAGGCAAGGTAGTATTTATAAATAAATATCACTCACTTTTTATAATCTTCAATCACCTCTGATTCACAATTGAAAAGCTCGTGACGATGTGCTTGCAATCATGTTTTCTCATCCAACTTAAATACATCTACTTGCGGTATGGCTCTCCATCAGTAAGGAAAAGACATCCTTCTCTATCAGTCTCGTGCTTAAAAACAGGCTATAAGAGTTATAAGCTTTTGCAAATTAAAGAGAATCAGATTCTATATCACTAACTTGAAAATAACTTAAGTAACATATGTCCTGCTCAAATTACTTGAAGTATAAATCTTCTATATAGATGTGATCTTCACAAGAACAAGAAATAGAAAATCGAGTACCCTTCGCAAGTAAAAAGTCATCTGATCTCCTAGTTATAAATTTTTTATCACATGGGATAATCATTGTCCGTCTACATAAGCAATTTTCAGCAAATACTAGCCAAGAGCTATAACTGATATTTCTGTTAGTTTATACTTCCTCTTTAACTTAATCCAGGCTATGTAATGCAACTATATATGTATTCTGTTTGTTTTGTCTTCCTCATTAAGCACTTCGATGATCCATCTACCAAATACAAAATAATACATAAATTTAGTCTTAACTATCTGCTTCAGTTCTTTGGAATCATACTACAATTCTTTCTTCTTTTCCGCTTCACTGGATCATTTCCTTCCATCACCAAAAACTTTTTGCGTGATAATTATCCGAGTTAACGAAATTATTTTAATGAATGATACTTTTTAATTAAACCGTGGTGTATAAGTTAGCTTGTGCGCACCTCGACTAATTCCATGAGATACCTACTATCACCCACCAACACTTACACAAGTATAACTCAGTCCACCAAAACTTGGATGATGTGCTAACTGCTATTGACATCAACTCTACAACAACTATTATATTAGTGCTCCTTAATCTTAAGAAAGTTGAGGTCACAAGCTTAAATTTATAGTCTAAAAGTTGTTGTACAACCATGTATACCCTGACTGTAAAATCATACTACCTTCTGCAATTTCAAAGTTGAAAAATTATTCAACTTAAAAGTGAAGCTAGATGGTCTGCTTTATGAACTGCCACCTTTAAGCAGAAGTACAGGCAATAGCTGCCACCTTTTTATCAGTTGTTAGTTCCCTACGATCAAATATAGTGGGGAATATAGGTACTGTCACTAAACACGTGCAACAGTTAATATGCATAATAAACAAAATGGTACAATTAAGGCATGATATGGATCTAAGATTATCCGGACATATCATAAAATATAGCTATGCACGGACTCTCGTTACATAATGCATACGTAACTCCCCACACAAGTAATACACAACAAGATATACCTAAGGGGATGAGTTCCCTCTTACAAGGTTAGGTAAAAGATTTACCTCTTTCTCAAGCTCACTTTCGGTCCAAAACTCCGCTTTAAATCCTCAACTTGGTGCCAAACAACCCGAAACTAGCTAAAGATTATATAAATAATCAATATACACTCACAAGTTCATAATTTAACTATTAGATTAATTACCCAACTCAAATTGGAAGATTCCTAAAATTCACCCCCTGGATCACGTGACTGGATTTCGAAAATTTTCGAAGATAATTGTTACCCACAACCTCACGAACTCAAATATATAATTTTCACCAAATTCCATAATCATTTTCGCGGTTAAATCCCATTTTTTTAAATCAAAACCTAGGTTTTTCAACTAAACCCATAATTTTTCGTGTTAAAATCTATCTACAATCTATGTATTAAACTTATATTGGGTACCTTCAATATCTAGGTGAAAACCCCTCTTCAAAAAGCTCTAAAATCGCCAACCAAGTGAATGAAAATGAGCCAAAAAGCCTAAGTCCCGACATTAAATGAACCTCACTGATCCAACGATTTTCGCTTATGCGGACATTGGGGCGCACTTGCGGAAAAATCTATTGCAGGTGCGGTCCTCGCCCAGCTTGGCCAAGTCCGCTTCTGCGGTGAAGAATGCGCATATGTGCCTTCGCTTTTGCGGAGTTGGTCCGCATTTAGAGATATATGTGAACTTTCTGTTTCTGCAACACCATATTCATGCTGGCCAGTCTTTATTACACCGTATAATCTTCCGTCTGAAATATGTATGACTAGTCCATATATTTTTTTAAATTGTATTATTCGCGGTCCCCGCAATCCAAAGAGTTGTGGTATATTTGCAACCTCTGATTAATGAGCTAAAACAGTTGTGGTATGATAGAGTTGAGACATATGATATATAAACTAATTAAAATTTCAACTTGCGTGCTAACTTAATGTGGACCATTAATGATTTTTCTGTGTATAGAATGTTGTCTAGATGGATGACTGCTGGAAAGTTAGCATGTCCTTACTGCATGAAAAATGGTAAAGCGTTCACTTTAAGACACGGCCGAAAGAAGTCATGGTTTGATTGTCATCGTCTGTTCTTGCTAGTTGATTATGAGTTTCAGAAGGATGAAGAACGCATTCAAAAAGAATACAGTTGAACGTGATTTGCCACCTCCAATTTTGTCCGGTGAGGAAATTTGGAAGAGGGTTCAGAACTTCACTACTAAAGTTACCGAAGCCACACCTTCTAGATTTTCTGGATATGGTGTTACTCATAACTGGACAAAACATAGCATATATTGGGAGTTGCCATATTGGAATGATAATCTTTCCCGACACAATCTTGATGTCATGCATATTGAGAAGAACTATTTTGACAATTTGTTCAATACAGTTACAAGAATATTGCATGCGACCTAAATTACATTTGCAGTCTGCTAACAATGGTAAGGTGTTCAAGCCCAAGGCCAGCTGCACATTCACTTTGGAACAAAGAAGATTTGTGAGTGGGTTGCAAACCTAAAGATTCCCGAGGGCTATGCTTCGAACATGAGAAACGTGCCGATATGGTTGAAGGAAAGCTGACTCATATGAAAAGTCATGACTGTCATATCTTCATGGAAACCTTAATCCATATTGCATTTTGTGATTTGCTTGAAAATATCTGGAAACCCATCACAGAGATAAGTTTGTTTTTCAAAGACTTATGTTCTACCACATTAAGGGAAGAAAACCTATTTCAAATGAATCAGAACATTTCTGTAATCAGTAATAAGCTGAAAAGGATTTTTCCGTGTGGTTTCTTTGATGTCATGGAACACCTTCCAATTTACCTTGTACACGAGGCGCGACTTGGAGGGCCGGTTCAATGCAGGTGGATATATCTATTCGAGAGGTAATGATCAAACTTTGATTTATTCTTGTAATTTTCTTTAACGTTATTGTCTAATATGACAATGTGCAAGACTATCGGCAAGTGTAAACGATTTGTTAAACATAGGAATAAGATTGAAGGATCCATATGCGGAGCCTATATTGCAAAGGAAACTGTCATTTTTGTTCTTACTACTTCGACAGTCATGTGCCATGTGCTAGAAATAGGCCCAGTCGGCACAATGTCGTGATTAAGATTGATCCATTATATCCACTAATGTCCATAATCAATCAATCGGGCCAAGGTTCTAAAGATCGAACAAAAAGGGGCCTAAGTAGTATGGGGTACAAATTAGCTTCAAATCATGTGTTGCTAAATTGTCCGGAAGTTCAATCCTTTCTTAAGTAAGTGTTGACGTAAGATTAATTTACATGGACTACTATTTAATTTAGTTTATGCAACTAACAAAATTTTCAATGTGTCGCTCAGTGACTTCGTGAGCCAATTTGGCTATGATGTTGTATATTATACATTTGAGGCATGGTTTAAAGAGTGTGCAAGTGCATCTTACATACTTTTTCACATGTGATTATACATACTTGGTCACTTGTGAATATACTTGCTCACTTGTGATTTATTTAACACTACATGTAGGTCAATAATCCAAACAACAGTGTTAATCAATTTTTGAAAGATATATCTTGGGGACTTGCATCTACGGTTACAACTATGTTTAAGTATTTTGTGAATGGTTATAAATTTCACACCAAGGAATGCTCCAAGTATAAAAAAATAAAGCAATAACAGTGGAGTGTGTGTCAAAGGTGGTGAAGGCAACCAGGATGAGAAAAATGATTATTATGATGTGATCAAAGAGATTCTAGAATTTTCATATTCAGGTTGGCCAAATAAGAAGATCATACTTTTCTGATGCAAGTGGTTTGACCCATCACCTAGAAGAAGTATAAATGTACACTTGCAGTACTACATAATTGAGGTTAATAAAAAGAGGGAGCATGATCGCTATGATCCTTTTATAATTGCAAAAAAAGTTAGGCAAGTGTATTATGCTCAATATCCATTGCGGAGGGATAAGGTTGATTGGTTGGTTGTAATCAAAACTAAGCATGTTGGTAGGGTGGAAATTGAGAATGTGCTAGATGTTGCTCACCAAAAGGATACCTCAAGTGTTAACCAAATGGTGGATGGTCAATTAGAAAAAGACTTGGAGCATCCTCAATGCATATTAGAAGAAGAAGATATGGAAGAAATAACAATCATATAAAATGAGGACGAACACCTAATGAAAATGAAATAAGTGAAGAGGAAGAATTTTCGGACGAGGAAGGATACTTCAAAGACGACTAGCATGTTAGTTTTTTCAAATTCTCTCAACTTAAATAGATTTATATTCTCAATTCTAACATTTTCTTTAATTTATGCAGATGATCAGTAGGGGTCGAGGTAGGTTTAGGAAGAATAAAGGGCCTATTGATCATGATAATGGTGCTACACCCTCTCTTCCTTCCACTCCACACTTGCATCCCTCCGCTACTGATGGCCGGCAGCAATCTTCTAAGCACACATCTTTTCCACCATATCCATCTACTCATTAGACTACCTACCATTTGTCCCCCAGCAGTATTCTTACCATTCTCCACCACAGGGCTATACCCCGCTTCCTCCACATGATCCTGCATATAGTTACATTGGTCCATCGAGTCAACAGTCACATGATTATGTGGTGATACGTCCGTCATCTGCTCCATTTGCTTCATCACTAGTTGGATCACATCCATTTAGATTTCAGCCATCCGGATCGCAGCTGGGGTCTGGATCGCAACAGGGGTCTAGATTGCAGTAGGGGTGTGGATCGCAGCCATTTTCATCAGCGACCCCGACTCCCTCTCTACGGAGTTCATCTCCTAGCATTTATGGACTTCGCTTTTGAGATAGTAGCGCTGAGCCAGATGCCTCCCCTTCCGCGCATGCTTTAGATTCATCGGAGGAAGATGATCCAGAGGATGTGCGGTATGATCGTTATCATAGGATGATCATTATTTATTTATTACTTCTTTGTTTTTGCTGAATTATAATGGCTAGTCTTGTTTATTTAATATAATTTCTATGTTGCAAGTTCATACCTAATCATCGGACTACAAAGATAATCACTGAAAATCTTGGCCGGTTGTATGATGCACCCTATGCGACTTGGAGTGACTTTCCATCGGAGCTTGTGGGGCAAATTTTCAACCAATTTAAGGTTTCAATACAATTCTTATCTATTTAAATATTATATTAACAATATTTTTATATAATGTTATACACTCCAATTGCAGACTAAGTGTGCCTCGGAAGACCGGCATAACAGTGCCATTCTTGCAAATTTTGAGTTCAAATGCCGTAAAAGACTATATGATTCCTTCAATTCTGCTCGGAAGAAGAGCAAGAAGCCTTCAGGGGTTCTACCGCATATATGGGAGGATCTGTTGAGGCAATGGACCACTGAGAAGTTCGAGAAGAAGAGTGAACAGGGAAAGAAAGCTCGAGCATCTGAGAAGGGTGGCTCCTTGCACTGTGTGGGTGCAAGGAGCATGGGGACTGCGAGGAGACTATTGATAATTCCTTAAAAAAATAAATTCTATTTTTATCAAACTATATTTATATATTTTAATTTAGTTAATATGTTTTATTATATTTGTAGGAAAAATAAATATGGGAGGAAGATGACTCATGATGAGTTTTATATGGAGACTCACATCCGGAAGAAGAAGGTACTGACAGATCCAACTAGATGGGTCGAGGACCGGTCGGAGACTACATATGTAAGTTTCATAACTACTATAACTTGAAATTAATGTTTATAATATTATATAGTTAATATCTTCTAAATAAAGGGTCGCTACAAGATTAATATGGAGGAGTACACTTAGAGCTTGCCACCGAATGAGCAAGGCGAGCGACCAACCGTTTCAGACGAAGAAGCGCAGAAGATATGGTTGGATGTTGTTGTGGTTGTTGTTATTAGCATTGTTGTGGTTATTGTTGGTTAATTGTGGTTAAATGGAAGAAATGTAATGATGCCATTATAGGGTAGTTATTGGTTATAATTGGCAGGTGGTGTAGTTTAAAAGCAGGCATATTCTGCCAGATTTTTACCCAGAAAACTGACCGACTACGGTCGGAATTTTTATATTAAAACCCAGAAATTTATTTTTTCGACCGACTTCGATCGGTATTTTCAATGTGAAATCTGCAGAAATTTGAAAATACCGATCGAAATCGATCGAAAATAATATATTTTTTAATTTATTTTTAATTATTCCGACCGACTTCCGTCGGTCTGTTAAGATTTAAAAAGAAATAAAAAATTATCAAATAATTATATTTCGACTGAACCCGGTCGCTATTTTGAAAAATAAATAAAAATTAATTTAAATAATACCGACAGAGATTCGATCGGTATATTTATTTTTCCAACAAAAGCTTTCAGTTAAAGTGGTCAACCAAAGGTTAAATTAACCGACCGACTTCGATTGCCACACCTTAGCGACCACTGTTGTTACAACGAATTGAAATCAGTCAATTTTTCTATATTTCCGACCGATTTCGGTCGGTTTTTATGGACGATTTTTGCAAGTTTTCTAGTAGTGTTTGTTTATGCGCAGCTAATGTTTATATGATTAAATATTAATGTTATGTGATTATTGGGTCAAGTGGGAGAATGTTAGATTTTTCCTATTATGTGTATGACCCAATATATTAAAGCCCATAATTAATATTTAATGAAAGACAAATTTCGTCCGTCTGATCGGTTACTTTATGGACATACCGGATTAAATGAGAACTTCTATAAATTGGTTCTCTCTCCACCCATTAGGGTTACCTATTCTCTCTTTCATCACTAAAGTCAATGGTAACGAAAGATAGGGCAAGGGGCGATAAACCAATTCCAGTTAACACTTCCGCTTCGTTATAATGACTTCCGTTTCAGGTATGTTTTCTGTATTGATTATATGTAAAATTATCATGTTCAAGATTATGGTATGAATTAAAGTTTATGCTTACAGATATTACTTAATGTATTGCAGTTAAGTTAGTTAAATTTCATTAATAATCAGTGTTAGGCTTACCTAGTCTTAAATATTAGGTGTCATCACAACGTTTTAAGATAGTAAATTGGGATCGTGACACTACTATAAACTCACATCTAACCATCATAAGTACCACTGAAATGTCCCAATACCATCATATGTTAAATGACAACACCGGATACCGAAAGCACTCCAACTAGTTACATTATTGTCTGAGGATTGCAAAATTTTATGTTAAATGATAGCTTGTTGATGTTAACTACTTTGGTCTGTATAGTTTGTTAAACGATGTATAGTTTTCATTTTACTTTCTGGTAACTTCTCATTTGATTTTTTGTAAATACTGTTGGTGACTTCTTATTAAGCTGATGTGGGGCTGCTTCAGTCCTTTTCTTTTGGTTCCTGTGAGTTTTTACAATGTAGTAAAATACAATTCGGGATCCATGAAAAATACATGAAGCTAACAGAGTTATCTAAGGCAATAAAATCATGAAAACCAACTGAAATGTGAATAGGCAGTGAATCAGTCACTTTTTTAGAGCCATTAATTAGTTTATCAATAGTTCGAAGTGTTTTTCATATTTGAGATCTCTTTCCTTTAGTACTGTTAATTAATAGTAGGCGACTGTGTGGATTTCATGACCTTTTAATCTTTTTCATGTTAGATAATTCGGAGGCAAGGAATGTTCGTGGGCCTCCAGGGAAGACAATTGATGTGCATTTCAATAGTCGCAACCAATTCATTGGGAAAGACGGTCGGAAGCTTCCTAGCTTTCTAGGGATTGTCACTAGAACTCTAGAATTAACTTTATTTGTAACGACTCAACCGGTCGTTTTGAGTATTACAACCCCGTTTTTCCATTTACTGCTTATCTTGTGTTCAATTATAAATATGTGACTTGTCGGAGAGGCTTCAGAATGAAATTGGAACACTTAGTTCCAAGATGTAAAGCTTAAGTTGAAATAGTTGGCCAGATGTCGACTTATGTGTGAACGACTCCAGAATAGAGTTTTGATAATTCCAATAGCTCGGTATAGTGATTTTGGACTTAGGAGCGTGCCCGGAATTTTTTTTGGAAGTCCGTAGTTAAATTATGCTTGAAATGGCTAAAATAGAAATTTAGGTTTGGAAGTTTGACCGGAGAGTTGATATTTTTTTTTATATCGGGGTCGAAATCCGATTCTGGAAATTGGAATAGGTCTGTTATGTCATTTATGACTCGTGTGCAAAATTTAAGGTCAATCGGACTTGATTTGATAGGTTTCGACATTGAATATAGAAGTTGGAAATTGTTAGTTTTCATTTGGCTTGAATTGGAGTGCGATTTGTGCTTTTGATGTTGTTTAATGTGATTTGAGGACTCGACTAAGTTCATATCGTGTTTTAAGACTTGTTGGTACATTCGGATGGGGTCCCGAGTGGTTGGGGTGTGTTTCGTGGTAAGTTTTGAGCGAGTCTGGGAATTTCGGCACTCTGATGCTATTCTGGAACTTTGGGGGCACATTTTGGAGTGCTGAGGCAAAGCCTCAGGTGCGGACCGCAGAAATCCTCTCGCGGCCACAGAAAGAAGATTCTGCAGATTCGATAGTCCGAATTCGGAAGCTTATATCTTTTAATCTATAAGGAATTTGGAGATGATTCAAAAACAAAAATTGTAGCCCTTTGAGTCTAGTTTCCATAAAAGTAACCAATCATCATTTTGACATTTGTAGAGAAAGTTATGGTTAATTTACTAAAATCTAGTAGTATAGAGGCTGCTGAAGTGCGACCGCACAATTTGGATTGTGGCCGCATAACCCGGAATGTGCGGACTGCACAAAAATGTTGCGGTCAGCACAATGGGGGATCAAAATTTGTACTATATGAACGAGAGTTTCAACTCATTTTTCATTTTTGGACTTTGGGAGCTCGGTTTGTAGCGATTGTTCGTGGGATTTTCAAGAAATTCATCGGGGTAATTAATTCTAACTCGGATTTGGTTAATATACATGAATATATAATTGTTTTCATCATTTAATTAGTATTTTGAGATGGAAATTTCAGAAAAATTGTAGAAATTTCATAAAATAATATTTTGGGATTTGAATGTCGATTCGAAGTCGGATTTGAGTGAAACTAGTATGATTGGACTCATAATTTAATGAGTTATCGGATTTTGTGAGTTTCATCGGATTCCGAGACGTGGCCCCACATGCGATTTTCGAGTTAAATTTCAGAATTTGTTGGAAAATTAGTATTTTCATATGGAATATTTCCAATAATTTTTATTGACTGAATCAAATTAATTATGACTAGATACGAGGCTTTCGGAGACCAATTCGCGAGGCAAAGCCATAGCGGAGTAAAAAATTACACAGTTTGAGGTAAGTAACACTTCTAAACTTGGTTCTGAGGATATGAATCCCTAAATTTCGTGTTATATGGATTGTTCGGAGGTGGCGCACATGCTAGGTGATGGGCGTGTGTGCACCATAGAAATTGTGACTTAATTAATTTTGTGGAGTTGCATAATTAAATAAATATCATTATCTACATATCCTCCACGTGTTGGAGGAAATTGAGCTGAGACTCATGTTTAAGATCATGTTTAGGCTACGTGCCGATATATTTGGGACCGACAAAGGTCATATTATTGTTGAATTATTTGTTTAAATTATAATTTTTGTACTCAGTCACATCTATCATTTGCATATCATATCTCAGTCTCTATTGCCATTCATCGATACATCATATCATCATATCGGGTTGATCTTCATGTCATTGACAACCCGAGTGACTGGAGATTTTGAGTGATATTTATGGGATCGGACTGCACGCCGCAATATATTTTATTTATTTATGCCTAGATCTGGCTATTATAGTGCTTAGGCTGAAGGAGCCCCTCCGGAGTCTGCACCCCCACAGTGAGCGCGATTGATTTATATTGAGGGATGAATCTTTCCCGAAGCATTTATATTGAGGGATGGATCTTCCCTGGACATGGATCTTATCCGAATCATTTATATTTGGGGATGGATCTTCCCCTAGGCTGGATAGGACTTATACAGTACTGAGTGACTGATTGTCAGTTGATGTCGATATATATATATATTCCCTGGGCTGGATTGGCCATATACAGTACTAAATGATTGAGTATTCTGAGAGTGTGAGTACACGAGGTTTCCATTATTGTACATCACATATAACAGATACTTTGGCATATAGATATAGAGATTTCATATTCCTCATATCATGCAGATTTTATCTATTTTTCCTGTACTGAGTTTAACTGTTGAACTGGAAAGCATGCCTACATTCCTGTACTGTTATTTCTGTACTAGACTGTAAAAGTTGAGCTCGTCACTACTTTCATCCCATAGGTTAGTCTTGTTACTTATTGAGTTGGTTGTACTCATACTACACTCTGCACCTCGTGTGTAGATCTAGGTACTTACGGATACGACGGTCGCCAGATTTGAGAATTTATCTATTGGAGACTATCAAGCTAGCTGCTTGGCGTCCGCAGACCTTGACTCTCTGTCCTTTCAGTTATAGTATTGTTCTATATTTTTAGATAATGTTCTTATTAGTCAGACTTTGTTATTATTTAGA